TATACACACACTCACCGGTCACTTTATTAGGTACACCTGTCCAACTGCTCATTAACACTTAATTTCTAAGCAGCATTGAGCTTATTTAGAGTAATAGTTGGGATCTGGAGCTTGTAGCTGGTTATGTAGCAAGGTTATCTGTTCATGGGGACATTCATGTTGCTAGTAGCTTACCATATGGGGTTATAACATAGAGTAGTTTAAAGGTGCATTGTGCATGCTTATTTTTTTTCCTTTTCCCTATTAATGTCCTTACAACTGCCCTATATGTAAATTGAACTTTCCCTTATTTATTGCAGTTGCCTCTACAGGTTCGATTTGTCCCATTATATGTGATTAGGGCCCTTTTCTCTAGGAGTACAGTGCTGCGTTAGCTGTTAGTGAAGGGGAGTTAAGCTCTTTTCAAAGAGCTTTTGACTCAGCTCCAAAAAAAAGTCAGTTTAGTTCTGTACATTTCCAAATTCAGTTTTTGTTCAGAAATGGCTTTTCCATCTACTAAATGGTTTGAATAAAGGGTGATAGGACATTCATTGTTCAAGATTTCAAAATATGGGCTGAAATATGCTGGAATTATAAGAATTATTCTAAAGATAATGTATGTCTGTACATTTCCATTTTTAATTAATGATGAAACAGTCTTTAAGTTAAGATCCAGGGACTAAAGAAATTTGCATTTTTTGCCCACTGTGCAGGACACTGAGACAAAAAAAAACAAAGAAGTTAGAAAAAAACAGATAATTTAATAGAATGAATCAGGATGAATTAACCAGTAATTAACACGAAGGGGTTAACCTGATTCATCATGCTGGAACAAATTAGTATCTGTCCATGTTTCACACAGTAAGTTCCTGATGGAAGACCGGCTTGTTGTCCTTTGGACATTATCTAACTTTACAGACATGGGATCTTTCTATTACTTTGGGTACAATCTAGATTTAATAAACTACATTTTATTGACTTAGACAGGGAGGTTTACTTTAAGCTCACTGCAGTGCAATTTATGGACGAGTTTTTGGTTTCCACAAGTACTGCAGTGACTACAAGTATTTAAAGTAAAAGGATGCCAATAAAATAACTGGACTTAGCTTTTGTGTTTTGTCCTATATTTAAAAGACCTAACATATTTAATAATATTTTTTGTCATTCCAATTTTACATTTCAACAAAATGTGTCTTCTCCATGTAAACCCATCAGTCTTAGGGAGCTGTGAACAGCTTGCAGCTAAGATCCAGAGTGATTGTGTGTGGGGTTCGAACCAGTTATTTGCAGCATTATCAAAACACAAATGTTCTGCTTTAAAAGGTAAGTTGCTTCTTCTCCTCTTTATCAAGTCCAAGGATCCCAAAGGACTTTACACTACACTCACAATCCAAAAAAGTTCCAGAAATTCTGCGTAACTAGAATTTAATTTAGATATAATCTATGATATAATCTAGAAACATCTTTCGGAGGAAGGCCGAAACGCTTTTTAACAACCAAAACTTTAAACCTTCACCATCATTATGTAAATAAAAAAATAAAAAACTGTACTAGGCAGATTTCCTTTGTAACTCTAACCAACCAAGCTTTGTGTTTTGGCTAATAAGGGTCTAATTCACTGCTGATATTTCTAACTCTATATATAAAACACACCATGTCCTAATTACTACCCTTATGGTCATTTCCTTTTAGGTCCCTCCCTGTGTCACCATGGTAACCGGTTGCATCTAAGCAGGGCTATGGGTGATTTTATTATAGGTGATTTTACTATATCCTTCCATAATATCTATCCTTAAACCTGATTTAATCAAATAAATAAATATATATATATATATATATATATATATATATATATATATATATATATATATATAGATTGTATATTGATTAAATCAGGTTTAAGGATAGATATTATGGAAGGATATAGTAAAATCACATATAATAAAATCATATCAATCATATATATATATATATATATATATATGGCCAAATTATACCTTAAATTAATTAGCAATATTTCTGTACCCAAAGACATGTTTAAGCTGTTAATAAAGTTTTGCTTAATTATCTACTAACAGGGTTTACATTGAAGTTTTTGTCGCCTTCATTTAAGTTTAAATAATCAAAGACAACTTAAGTAACCTGAGGTTTAACCAGTTCAGCCTATGCTAAACCCACGAATGTCTGGTATATAGATAAAAAAAGTAGGATTTTCCAGCAACATAGCAACTTTGACCTTAAGCCGACACCGTCAGTTAGATAAATAAACCTATAACAGAATTAAGACAATCTTAAATAAGTAAATTTGACATTCAAACGTTTTAGCACAGAAGAAATACTTTACTGTTTTCAAAATCAAAAAAGTAATTATCAGAACTTCAAATGTGTCTCAGAGAAAAGAATTTTTTAAATGGTGCTTCATTTTTTTTTTTTGTTGTTGATTAGTGTTATAAGGAATTGGTGATATCTCAAACTTCCTGACTGTATGGTTAAATTGAACCTTCAAATGGGGAAAAACAGAAAACATACCATTCAAAACCAAATCCTATAAAAGCTAGCATTCACCAACCAATCGTCAGTCAGAACAAAAGTTTAAACGACCAACACTGTGACAAGCCAGAAAAAATATTGCTTAATTCTCTGAAGCTCACTGTTAGTCAAAAGTTGCATCTAGGGTCTGCAATAACTTACCAACTGGAAACCTGCAATGGTTAAATCTTCTGTCTTTCCTAAAATAAAATGGTAAATATGTTGGGAAATATAAGCTACATTCACAAGACATTCAAAATACATCTCTTCTTCCATATATGTCACCTATATCTAATGTTTTAATTATAGTCTGAAGATGATAAATCAGATGTTTTCAACTCATCGTGGGATTCTAAAGCACAGCAATCGTGTTCTGAACTACCATGCTACCTCAAACGCAGACTACAAATAAAGCAAGCATCTTAGACTTCCTTAGTCGGCTCAAAATGCGCATCATTTACAGCACTGCCGTATTGCATCCATACTGACTTACTCTGCAGTCTAAGGTTGCTTGCATTAGATTGCAATTAGCATGTAATAATTAGGTTTTAATCAAAAGATCTGCAGCACCCCAAGATTTTAAGCACGCAGATACAAAGAGTATTTGGCAAAAGCATCTCAGGTCTATGGCCAAGTATGGTAAAGATGGTATAGTGCTGTGGGTCCCTTTCTTGTCCAGAAGCTGAGAGAGCTATGATAAATGTCAAAAAATTTTGTCAAAACTTTTTGCATGACCATTTCAGTTCACAGAGCTGAACAAAAAACACAAAATGCTTAAACTAATTTGACAATAACCACCTAATCTTTGCTTGAAGGGTTAGATATTTAAAATCATCAAATTCCTGGAACATAACTGCATACCTTCCATTACCAATCAGGATTTTCTCTTCTTTTATAAAACACCCAATTAGAAAGATGAAAGAAGATTTTTGTATTTCTCGTGTTTCAACTCATAAGACATTACAGTGTAGTCATGGGGTTTGATATGATATATATTAGCATTTGTACAGAGCCATGAAACATCATAGAGGGTTTTTCAACATATAAACCACCAATACCAAATTTTTACATAACCAGAGTGCAAACATGGGTCTCATTATGCTGCAGCTTGTGAAACATTAAAAGTCCAGGTGCTCTTACTTTGGTAAAAGGGGGTTGCACAAATGTTTTACTTTTAACTTGTGTTGGATTTCTTATTTTAAAAAATATATTCCTTAATATATTCCCCAGATAGATCTAGGAATAGAGGATTTTTTTTATTAAACTGTTTTTTCACACATTTTGAGACAACACAGTGATTGTTGTTCAGACAGCTGAATTTTGAAAAAGACTGCATCAAACTGACTGTCGATGCATTTTTTTGCACCATGTTTTTTCTCCCACAATGTTTACATTTGATCACTGCTGCACTTTAAGAAAATGGAAATGTCATGAGAGCTATTCAAAATGAAACTTTACTTCGCATACAATCCGTGTATACCGAATGACAATAAAAGTTGTCTAAGTCTAAGAGTGAAAGGGGTTGTAAAAGCTAAAAGCAAATGCAGTGTTTATTTAGGAGTCATTACTGAAAATCAAACAAATTAGTCTAAAACATTCTTTTCTTTTCCATTCAGTTTTTTTATTACTATGAGGGCTATGTTTTGTTACTGAATAGGAAGAAAGAGAAGAAAAATGATTACAGGAAATAAGAAGTAGAGATGGAAAAGGAGAAGAAACAAGTGTTGCATAAATAATGCAAAAGAAAAAAGGTACACAGTGTGGCTGACGCAGCAGCTGCCTTTCGGTACATATGGTTTCATTTCCAGCTTCATCCATTTTCCATTTCAGCCTGGAGATAGGTTGGCAGCAGGCGGCCAATGGGCGGTGCTCGAGCCAAGGAGCTAAGATAAACTACCTCCGGTTCAATCTATTTGCCTTCACTCCCTCTGCCAAACAACGATCCTAATGCAGAGTGGTTACACAGGGGAAAGGGCCCAAGAATAAACGTCTTAGAATAAAGTACATTTATTCAGGCCAGCCAGTTGGTCTCTAGGGTTTCAATGGCTTACAGCAGCTGGAGCAAACGGGATACAGAATGGCTGCAGAAAAGCTGTCCATCACCCAGAATACAATCAGCAGCACACATGGCAGGGGAGCTAATGGATGCTCCCACACGGAACGCAGTTTAGTGAATGGAAACATGGATGGGTCTATCTTGCAGCATGGGATTACGTGCAATAGTTATCCTTCATAAGTGTGAGCCGTAGGTCAAAGGGGTGTAATGTATATAGATGGTTGGGTGGTATGGGGGGGGCACATTAAACAGTAATCTCTCACAACCAATCAGCCGGCTCTCATGCCACGTTTTTCCTTCTTTGACCTGGCAGACAGTCCAAGTAGCACTTAAACAAATAGGCTGCTGCAGCTGAAATATGTGGCGCAGCGAACACTTGAAATAAATTATCTGCAGGCTTAGTTCAATGCATTATAAGCATGTCTGTGCAACTGTGGAGCAAAACTCTGCATTGGGCACGCAGAGGAATATATTCCAAGGCTTAGAGAAACAGAATATATGAAGATGTAAAGGAGCTAAATAAACAGGACAAAAACAAACTCCATACTATACACACAATATTTAAATGAAGAGTTTATATACACTAACATTCAGTGCATTTTATCACGTTATATAACTTTAATGTATGTTATGGGGGCTATATCTATAGAGCAACAAAAGGGAGCAAATAACACAAGCAAAGAGACATGGTTTTAAAATTCATTTCAAGAAATAAATAAAAAAAAATGATGGCATGTATGTGTATAAAGTCCCTCTTACTGAAAAAACAATAAATGCAGTGCAACCATTTTTTTCAGTCTTTTTAAATCATTCAATATTGATATAAAAAATGAAAAATACTCTGCATCGAATGTATTTTCTTAACAATTGGCCTAATTTTTTTTGTTAGTTAAAAAACATTTTTTTCAAGCTGCTAACCCAACCCACACCCTAATTTTAATGTGGGGTAAGATGAGTGAAAGCATTATTCAACAATCACCCATCACTTTCCTTCCATTTCTTAATTATAATGCACTTTTTGTTGGTCTATTACACAACATCCTGAGTTACTTTGTAGAAGAGTAGCATGATCCAGAGTTCAGCGTTTTCCAAGAGCTCCTAGCCAGCTCCACACTAACAGTAGTAGTAAAAATAAGACACACTTTCAATGTTTTAATAGGACTATACAATAAAGAAAACAGAGATTTGGTGTTATTAAAACAAACAAATATTCTTTCAATCCTTGACAGAGGCCCCAAAATTTTAGCTCTACTACTGGAAATGTATAAACAGAGTTTGTGTAGCTTTTTTTGTTTTTATCCAGTGATTATCTATTTACATACAATCCTCTTAAATAACCATTTTATACATGCATGTCAATAGACTATACTACTCTAAGCAGCTGAGTCCAGACGAGGCAACTTTCAGCCAGAAGGTCAGATCATATCCATCAGACACTCTGAACCAGTTGACATGAAGACTCTGGCTGCAACTTTAAAAAAGTCTTGGCTCTCTATATCTGAACAGACCCCTTTTACACAATTTTATTTTCATAAATTTTGATTTATAAATATTTAGGAAAATAATTCATCGTCAGATTGTTAGGAGACATTTTAATGTTTGATTTACTTGTCAACAACTTCCAGAAAAATTGAATATCTAAAACAAAAAAAGGACAATTATTTTTAGCAGGAGTTTGCCTTTCAAAACAGCTACAGCAGCTGCTTCTTTGGCCATTTGGAAGAAATAATCCCCACACCTAAAATGCATGCTCAAGGAAACATTTGAGATATATTACTGGGGTACCACATCTTTTTAAGTCTCTTGCACACAAAACAAACAAAAAAACAAAATTAAAGAACAGAAAAGGCACCAGTAGTTTTATGGAGTTTTGTAGAAATCAGTAGTTTCTGCTGTTCCTTTTCCCAGATATTCAGGTATATGAACCCATCACAAGCTGTGCCTTCCTCCCCAAACATCCCTTCAGAAAAGACTACCAGGTCCTCAGATGTCGAGCTGTGCCGGCGCCAAGTCCTTAGAAGATGTGTTTGAGGTGTTTAACACCATAGGTCTTGAAAAACACCAGGAGGATTAAAGTCCACAGGCCCAGGATGAAGCCATCAGGAGGATGCCAGTCTTTCTGCTTTGGTTTCTGTAGGAAGGTGGGTAAGGAAAGGGGGAGGGCAAAGGAGGAAGGAAAGCAGAGGGGATTGGAGTGAGTTATGCTGTGTATATATCTCCTGTTGAGCCAATCTCTGATTGTTCTGTCATTCATGCAGGCAGGCAGGCGAAGAATCACGCACACATTCAACTTTATCTCTTCAAACGTTCGGAGTGCACCTACACACAACATCTCGCACACACAGGTTCAAGCAGGAAGGTGGATGGTGTAGCTCATCAGCACACCTCCCCGTCTTGTGTTTGTCCCATTCACTGCCACATCATCGCTTTGTGTACGATTATACTTTTAAATCTTGCTCATATTAAACATGCAGCTCACAAGTAGCACATTTATATGCTAATGTGGCTGCAATATTCTGCAGAGAGATGAGAGTTAACCTCTAAAAACATCTTGCGAACTCCTCTGCTAGCGACGAAGCGTCTGCTGCGCTCTAAAGATGTACGGAGGAGATTTCTGCAAACTGTGTCTGTACCTATTCTGATTGCTGTTGCACAATTAGAAAAGGACCAGTCAGACCTGGTAGCTGGCTCCAAGAATCACCCAACTTCTTTCACTGTGAAAATGAAACGCTCCCAGAGAAATAACAAAAGATTGTTTATAACAAGAAATCATAGATATACCATCTCTTTATGACATCAGAAGATGAGTTAAGAGAAACTGTGATCATTTTTATAAATAAAAGTAATCAAAAAGGAGTTCCAGCCTTGTTAGAAGAAAAAAGGAAAAAGAAATGTAGATGATTTCCCTTACCCAGTTCTCTGACAACATAACTGGAAGAACAAATGCAATTAATTCTGTTCATTAATCCTCAACACTGTACCATAAAGCCACATCCAGGCACACAGTGTTCAGCATTAACCTTAAGAAACTGAACCCTTCCCCCTAAAAAACAGGCAATAAGGTCCAGAAATATTTCTCTTCCATTTACCAACCATCTTGTTTAGTTGATTTTTTATTTTTTATCTGCTTTCTGTTGTAAATAGCTTTATTTCATCGAAAAGTCAAAGGATTTTAATCCATGGAATTTTTCCCCAGGTAAATGGGATACTGGGTAATTTGTGAAGAAAATTGCATTCCACCTCCGGTTCAGAGCGTGGAGGTAATAAAAAGACAAAAATAAAACCAGCTGCTTCTGCCATTACCTCAGCATATCTATCCTATTTTAAAGCCTAAACTGCAGCTCACCGCCATGTAAAAACTCACTCACAATTCACTCCTCTTGTCAATCGAGGGTGACACCAGTGGGCTAGTGGCTCAAAACTGGAGGTATAGCAAACCCCTGGTCAGCTGACGGCACAGGAAGTACAGACATCTCCAAAAATGTCAGAGCCCTTTGGAAATCAAGCAATAGATCTTGATAAACTAAGCAGATATTTGAGTTTCAGACAACCGCACCCTCACCTAAAAACAATCATAAAATGATTTATTAGTTGATGGCTGCTCAGCACATACCTGCTTAACAAACTGGCGGTAATCTACAAGTCTTATGCGCAGATCAGGAACTCTTTTTCAGAAAAGTGCAGACAAAGGAAAATTGAAAAATAGCTTGGGTTTAGAAAAACCTCATGCAATGGATTCATGTTTCTGCAAAAGAAAATGAGCTAAGTCAAAGTTATGAGACCATTTCTTTAGAACAGCCTTTGACTGTTAACTGAGGTATTAGTTTGTTTTAATTACCGACTGCATCTATCAAGTCCTTCATTTTAATGTTTAATTCATCCAAAAACACTTTGACCTTGTACTGAATTGTGTTATGCAAAAAAGTTTCCTTCCCTAATTTAGGCTAAAGAACAATCGACTAATATAGTTTATGGTTATTAGGTATCTGCTTGTATCTTTTCTGTAAATGGTAAAGTTTTAATAGTTTTAATAAATAGAATTACATGCAAATATATTCTGAATACATAGAATGAAATGCCTTCAAGCTTCTATATAAAATTCAAAATAAGCGGCATACTTCAAACCTCAAAACATTTTATGGTTGTGAACGTACCCGGCAATCACTGCATTATATCCAGCGTATAAGAGTAACAAGAAAAATTGCCATGCAGATGGAATATTTCATCTAATCTTGATGACTCCCTCGTAGTATTTCAGTTTGTCAAAGAGTCCAATTGCATTCCAATTTCACTCAAGTAGGCAGTCTCATATGTTTGCTGAATTTCTCCTTTACCCAAGAGGCAAGTACTGCTGAATTGGCATATGTAGAGTGGAATCCTCTGCTCTATTTGTGTGCATGTATAAATGAGAGCCTAGCACGCTCCTACTGAGGCGTGTGCTGAATGCCCAGTGTCTGCAGCGACTGCCCACTGAGCATCTAATACGAGTCAAATGTGGCATTCACTGTTAAAAAAAACAACAACACACCAGCTGACAGTAATATTTCAAGAATGATCTTATATTCAGGTTTAATTTTGTTAACAACTGCTTTGACAGTCCCTGCATAACTAACAATCAACGAAAAATAAACAATGTTCATTATTTTCCTATTGAAAGAATGGCTGTTCTAGCCAGCAGAAAGAGGTCATAATGAGTGTGACCCTGCTCTACCATAAAAAGGACTCAGAAATGCACCTGGTCTGATTTATGAAGCAGTATTTTAAACTATTGTTAATATGTTTTAAACAATGCTTATTTCTTGCTCGACTTTCTTCTTTTCAAATCCTTTCAGACGAACAACTGTTTGTGAGCGACTTGGCCTCCGTCCCCGCCTGTCTTTTTTAGGCCGTCACTTAAACCCGAACTTCAGGATGTGTGACGACGCTGTGAATTTTCAACATAGAGAGGCTGTAGACAGCAGCAAAATTGGATTAGGTCTAGGTCCAAATTTATTTAACAGCTCAATCAAGTCGAATCAATAAAGCTCTGCTGCTATCCGAGAATGCTAAAGCAGCTACAGGGAAGCATTTCTGGGTCACTTTAGAGGTTTTTATCAGAGGAGAGTAGTGTTTGAGAAGGGGGAAAAAAAGTTAATTCATAAATACATTTCTGCCAAATGTGTTTATATTACAAAATGCATTCAATGTTTCAAAAAAACAAATCAAAGGACATCCCTAATAAAACCT